TGGACGGCTACAGCGTGGAGTACTGCTGGGAGGGCTGTGAGTGCCGGCCCTGGGCCCCCGCCAGCCGGCAGAGGGTGGGCAGCAGAGCTGGGCTGTCCGTACTGACCCCGCCCCGTCCCCATGCCCAGGCTCCGAGTGGGTGGCCGCCCTGCAGGGGCTGACGGAGCGTACGACCATGCTGGTGAAGGACCTGCCCACGGGGGCCCGGCTGCTCTTCCGTGTGCGCGCATACAACGTGGCAGGGCCTGGAGCCCCCGTCACCACCAAGGAGCCTGTGACGGTGCAGGAGATACTGCGTGAGTGCCCCGTGTGCCGTTATGAGGCCCGTGATATAGTCTGGGCGGGGTGGGGTTGGGGGGCTGGGGTCTCAGCCACCTCCTAGGCTCAGGGCAACAGCACCGGGGGGGCTCGCTTGTTTTTTTCATGTCAGCCTCCCTGTTGAAGAACAGGGAGTCTAGGCCGTTATTTCCGGGCTCTGACAGTCCCTCAGCCACAACAGTCTATGCCCTGGGGACTGAGCGCTGAGGCCAGTGGGGGTCAGCCTGGGCCGTCTGGGACCCCCTTCTGTTCTGCTCCATCATGTAAATAGTGGTCCTAAAAACTGGAAGAAAGGGGAGGAAACAGCACGGGGTGTAGGCTCTAGAAGCCTAGATCTGTCTGGTCCATGGCTTTCTGGCTGTGTGGCCTCAAATGAATTGCTCAGCCTCTCTGATCCCTGCCTCTTGCAAGGCTCAGCTGGAAGCAGGCGCTCGGTAAGGCACTTGAGGCTGGGGAGTCTGGGTTGCTGTGGGTTACAGGGAGGCCAGAGGAGGGGCAGGGCCCAGCATGTGACTCTTTTCTTAGCTGCAACTCTCTGGGCCCTGTCTCAAGAGGCTGAGGGGCCATAGCAGGTCAAGCCACTGCCTGCAGTGCCGGCATCCTGTATGGGCACCGGTTCAAGTCTTTTTTTTTTTTTTTTAAGATTTGTTTATTTATTTGAGTTACCAGGGTGGGGGTGTCTTCCATACACTGGTTCACTCCCCAAGTGGCTGCAACGGCTGAAGCTGCGCCGATCCAAAGCCAGGAGCCTCTTCCGGGTCTCCCACATGGGTACAGGGGCCCAAGGACTTGGGCCATCTTCTACTGCCTTCCCAGGCCATAGCAGAGAGCTGGATTGGAAGTGGAGCAGCAGGGAGCCTAACTGGCACCCATATGGGATGCCGGCGCTTCAGGCGACAGCTTAACCCGCTATGCCACAGTGCTGGCCCCTGCTCCACTTTTTTTTTTTTTTTAATATTTTATTTATTTGAAAGAGTTACAGAGAGTTAGAGCCAGAGAGAGAGGTCTTCCATTCCACTGGCTCACTCCCCAAATGACTGCAACAGCTAGAGCTGTGCTGATCCAAAGCCAGGAGCCAGGAGCTTCTTCCAGGTCTCCCACATGGATGCAGGAGCCCAAGGAGTTGGACCTTCTTCTATTGCTTTCCCAGGCCATAGCAGAGAGCTGGATAGAAAGTAGAGCAGCTGGGACATGAACTGGCACCCATATGGAATGCCAGGGCTGCAGGCTGGGGCATTAACCCTCTGCGCCACAGCACCAGCCCCCACCCCCCTTCTGATCCAGCTCCCAGCTAATGCGCCTGGGAAAGCAGTAGAAGATGGTCCAAGTGCTTAATCCCTGGAGGACCCTTGAGTCCCTTAGACCCAGATGAAGCTCTTGGCTTCTGGCTTTGGTCTGGCCTATCCCTGGCCATTGTGGCCACTTGGAGAGAATCAGCAGATGAAAGACCTCTCTCTCCCTCTGCCTCCCTTTCAAAAGAATAAACCAATCTTTAAAGTGATGGATCTGTGCAGTTCCTCAGGACTGGGACCGGAGTGGGCGCCAGCTCAGCCGTCCCCTCTAAACCCACAGAGCGACCACGGCTTCAGCTGCCCAGGCACCTGCGCCAGACCATCCAGAAGAAGGTTGGGGAGCCCGTGAACCTCCTCATTCCCTTCCAGGTAGGGCTGACCCCCTGCTCTGTCCCCAGGAGGGAGACCACCGTTGTGGCTCATGCGGGCACGGCCAGCAGGGGGCTGTTTCTCAGAACCCACCCCACCCCACCACTGGCACACACGTGAGGTTGGGGCAGTGACTGGTCCTCTGTGGGAGCCAGGCCCAGGGTTGAGCTGTCCCTGCCCACAGGGCAAGCCTCGACCTCAGGTGACCTGGACCAAGGAAGGGCAGCCCCTGGCCAGCGAGGTGAACATCCGCAACAGCCCCACGGACACCATCCTGTTCATCCGTGCCGCCCGCCGTGACCACTCGGGCACCTACCAGGTGGCGGTGCGCATCGAGAACATGGAGGACAAGGCTACGCTGGTCCTGCAGATTGTGGGTGTGTGCCCGTGGGCCTCCCTACACGCTCACTGAGCTGAGCTGCCTGGGGAAGGGGGCGGGCCAGGTCCTGGCTAGAAGCAGGGGAGGTGACCGGATCTCCTCTGGCAGACAAGCCAAGTCCCCCCCAGGATATCCGGGTCGTGGAAGCTTGGGGTTTCAACGTGGCTCTGGAGTGGAAGCCACCCAAAGACGACGGCAACACAGAGATCTGGGGTTACACGGTGCAGAAAGCTGACAAGAAGACTCAGGTGAGCCTGGGGTCCTGCCCCACCCCTTCTCCCTCTGCTGATCTGGTGACCTCCACAGTATGGACGGAGGCTCCGGGAGTAGCCAAGGGAGCGCTGCCCCCAGAGGTGCCCCTTGCCTCGTGTGCCCCAGGAGTGGTTCACCGTCTTGGAGCATTACCGCCGCACCCACTGCGTGGTGTCAGAGCTCATCATTGGCAATGGCTACTACTTCCGGGTCTTCAGCCATAATGCAGTGGGTCCCAGTGACACAGCCGCCACCACCAAGGAGCCCGTCTTCATCCCCAGACCAGGTGCCTCATCCTCACTCCCACACAGGGGAGCCGGTGCAGGGACCGTGGCCTAGCTTGGTTTTCTTGACACCAAGTCTGTCACCAACAGGTATCACATATGAGCCACCCAGCTACAAGGCCCTGGACTTCTCGGAGGCCCCAAGCTTCACCCACCCCTTGACGAACCGCACAATTATCGCTGGCTACACCACCATCCTCTGCTGCTCCGTCAGGGGCAGCCCCAAGGTAGGGCACCTGGGGCCCTGGTCCTGGCCGACCCTAGGGGCAGGACTCACGGGCCCCGTCTCCCCCACCTCTGGGTGTCTGGAGGGCCCTCTGCTTGCCCAGGGCCTTGGCACTCACTGTTAGCTGTGTTCGCCCAGCCTGGGGCAGTTTGGGACTCAACATGTGTGCCCCCAGAAATGTCTCCCCCGGGGTTCACACCAGCCCCCTCAGCCTGTGATGATCTCCCTCCATTGACCTCACTTGTAGCCCAAGATTTCCTGGTTCAAGAATGGCCTGGACCTGGGGCAAGATGCCCGCTTCCGCATGTTCAGCAAGCAGGGGGTGCTGACCCTGGAGATCAGGAAGCCCTGCCCCTTCGACGGAGGCATCTACGTGTGCAGGGCCACCAACTTACAGGGCGAGGCCCAGTGTGAGTGCCGCCTCGAGGTGCGAGGTGAGGAGCCTGCTGCCTGTGTCACGGCTGGGTGGGTCCTGGCTTCTGGAGAGCTGGGAGACACATATGGCATGGCCTTCTCTCCTGCAGTGCCTCAGTGACCAGGCTGGCTCCCAGGGATGGCCAGGTATGGACACCAGGGTGCAAGCCTTGGGCTACTAGTCTAGGGGTGTATGTGTGTATGTGTGTGTGTGTGTGTGTGTGTATATAGGCCTCAGGTCACTCACGATGGAGTCCATTACAGGCACAGCTGGACGCCAGCCCTACCTGCCGGAAGGCTGGAGAAGCTGGAGAAGCCATCCTCCTGCCCCTGGATGTGTGTGTGTGCCCGAGTGTGCATGCACACATGTACACAGGTGTATCCTGGGCTGCGAGGTGGGGGGGCAGCACAGCAGCCAGGAGTGGGCTCTACAAAAACAGAACTGGGGCGCTTCCATGGGAAGCTCTCGGAACCTCGGGGCAAAAAGTGGGTGGGCTTAGACGATGCTGGTTGGGGACAGGCCCTCTGGCCGTCACATCTCAATAAAAGATGAGTGCACTCACAGAACTCACCTTTCCTGCGCCGTGGGCAGGGGGACATTCACTTGACTGTCACAGATGCTATTTCCCGGGTGATTAAACGCGGCCAGAGTGGAGCTCTGAGCTGAGAATTCAGCACCAGAACCTCATCCCCGCTTCAGATGAGGAAGCAGAGGAGCTGGCGTGGAGGGATGCTGGGCAGCAGCAAGCCACGTCCCCCTGCTCTCCTGCTCGGGTCCCAGGACTCCCAGGATCCCGTGCTAGTGACCCACGGTCTCGGCAGGTGGGGGTGGGCTGTGTCCACAGGTGCCAGGGTACAGCTGCATCAGGCTGCTGGGGTCCCAGCGACCAGCAAGTCCAGCGCCCACTCACACCCGGATTTCAGGTAGCAGAGGGCAGTCCTGTCCGGCCACAGGGGGCATGAGGCCCAAGGCCAGGGCCCTACTCTGTTCTTACTGCCCCCACGGGGAGCCTAAATGTGGTCATGACTTTCAGGAGGAAGCTGGGAGGCCCTAGAGGTGCCCTCACAGTAGCCGCTTCCTGCCTGCGGAGTGCCGGGTCTTTTCATGGCATAGGAAGTCCATGCAGCCTGCTCCTTTGAGTTCTGCTCAACATAAGGCACTCCTGGCCCAGAGCCCAGCGCCCAGCTTCAGGCCCTGCAGTGGGGCTGGCTGCACCGTCCATGCCCAGGTCCTATCTGTGAGGGGAAGAGAGGCGGGGGCTGCCTGGCTCGGCTATTCCCAGCAGCGCAGCCCTGGGGAAGGAAAGCTCCCTGCTGCAGCCTCTCTCTGGGAGCCCCAGAAGTGGCAGCCAGGAGCTGGGCCTTCGCGTGCCACAGCCTGGACGGGGAGGACCTCATCTCCCTCCCTTCCCGCCCAAGCCCAGGCCGGGGCTGAGAGATCTCGTTGACCACAGGGTAGCCAGGCGGCCAGGGGGAGTTAGGACATTTATTTCATAATCACAGAGCTGTACATTTTCTATAAATAACGTAGAGCAGGGATATTTACAGCCCCTCCCCTGCTCCCCAGGCCATCTTTCCCCTCTGGCACCCGGTGCCAGGAGACGCTGCCTGCAAGAACAGGCGTGCGGACGGGACCCGGCCACTCCCCATCCCGCCCTGGTTCTTGGGCAGTGCAGCAGTGGTCCCTGGGTCACTACTAGTCCCAACCACTCCGTCCTCTCATGTGGAAGGCTAGGGAGCGCCCTGTAGGGAAGTCCCAGGGCTGTCCCCAGGTGCTGCCCCCACAGCGCTGGGCCACGGAGGAGCCACCACTGGGGAGAGGCAAGAGGAGGCAGGGAGGTCGCAGCTCACTCCCAGCTGCCCCAAACTCCTCCCTTCCTTTCCCTGCCCACCCCTGGCCTGGCGGGGCAGGCTCAAGTCTCCCTCACCGCCCGCAGAGCGGACCTGCTCCAGGCGCTCAGTCGTGCTGGGTCACCAATGGAGAGCGGGCTCCTGCACTGGGGGGGTCAGGATGCCGACGACAAGGACGAGAAACCACGACACAAACATCTCAAGGACACGCAATGGTGGGCTCGCACTGGCCCAACACACACCCACCCACACACTCACTCTTGGGGCCTTGCGGGGACAGTAGGCTCACCTTCTGGGAGTAGAGGGGGAGGTGGCAGGGGCTATCTTAGCCCTGTGACAAACGCTCAAAGACACTCAGAGACGTATAACTGGGACCCAACTAAGCCTCGGCTTGCGCAGAACACACACACACCATCCACGTCTCATCACAGCAGCACTGCACACGCGGGGACAGCAAGACGCACGGGCGTTCCCTGGGTTGGGCGGCCGCTCCGCCCCCTCCATCAGCTCGAGACAGGCCGTGGGGGGGTTCTGAGACCTTCCTCACTGCTGCGCGCTGCAGCCACGTACGAGAAGAGACACAACACAGAGTAGCAGATCTCGTGGGCCTAGAGGGAGAGAAAACCAGATAGGTCAGTCACACAGAGATTCCCGTGCCTGCACATGTGGAGGGTGTGCCAAGCCGGTGACTCCTGCCCTGACACGGAGCACAAGGCGCGGGAGAGGGGATTAGTGCACATGTGCCTGCTCCCAGGGCTGAAGACTGGTTCGGCCTCGGCTGTGTTGCAGGCACCTGGCCGAGGTGCCCACAGACGCCCACCCCCCTCCTGCGCAGAGGTCCCCAGGGAGCCCTGCGCAGCCCTGGCGTGTCGGGGCCGGGTGGCACACTCACCATTGGTGTCTTGTACTTGTGGCTCACCACTTCTTTAATTTCAGGAACTAAAACCGGACGGGCAAGAGACAAAACAGAAAGTTCAAAACTAAGAGCGACAGTGCCATGCTCCCTCAGGCGGCAGTGCCTGGCACCAGGGTCCCCTTCCCTCTGCAGCCTCTCGCAGTGGCTGCCAGCAGCTTAGGCTGGGACAGGCCTGCGGCCACCCGAGACTTCTGTCCAGACCCTGCCGGAGGAGACGACACTGCCCCCAGACAGCTGGGCTAGACCTCTGGAGCCCGTGGTTCTGAAAGGCCCCGCCTGGTCACCGCTCTGTCCAGGGCCCTGGGGACTGGCAGATGTGAGCCGGGAGAGGAGCGTTGTCTCCAGCCTGTGCCTCACCTTGCCCAAATGCCCGGGAACTCACGCCTATCACCAGCCCCAAAGTTCCCTTTGTTCCCAGCCCCTACCCAGAGTGTCCCATGAGACTGCAAGTGAACTTCCCTGAGTGGCAGGAGAAGCCCAGGCCTGCCTGTGTGAGGGAGAGCGTCAGAGGGCTCGGCAGCAGACACATCGAGCAGGAGAGACAGGCGGGGACAGCACCCGGGGAGCGGCAGGCAGATACACACATGTCCACAGCCCAGAATGCAAGACCGAGTCACCCCTGCCCCAGCCATGCAGGGGTTCTGCTTGGCCAGAGGAGGGAGCAGGGCGCCCAGGCTCAGCCATCATCATCATGGTCCCTTGAGATTGGGAGCAGAGGGGTGTGGCATCCCCCTGGGAGCCAGAAAAAAAGTGGGGTGAGTTGGCCACGCCTTCTCCTGACCCTGAGAGTAGAATTCGGGGAACTTGGGGTTAGCACGTCATAACCTTGTCAAAGGCCGAGCGAGCTGGAAGATTCTCCCAAACATCTCTCGGGCAGAAGAGAGAAGGGAGCGCAGGAGGGAGAGAGGACTGGGCTCCGGGAGCCGGTGCGAGAGTGGAGGGAAGTCGGGAAGGAAGAGGGTGGGGAGAGAGGAGACGACGAGGTGGCCATGTGAGCAGCTGGTGTGGTGAAAGGGAGCCCGCCCACCCACGGCAGGGCCCAAGGCAGGGCCTGGGGAGAGGCAGCACGAGCCGAGCCGCGGTCACTTTACCTGCTGGAGAACGAAGGTTTTCATAGCAGCGATGAGGGGCACAAAAGAATGAAGCACAAACACAGCAGGAACTCAAAGCCCCAGGGTGAGACCCCTCTACACCACTCCTTAGCACTGACAGGGACGGCCGGCTCCCGGCTCCCCGCTCCAACTGCGCTTCTGCCCCTGAGGCCCACCGGGCTTCCCTGCCCCTCGAGCACGCTGCCTGCGATGCCCCACGCCCCTCCTCTAGCACAGAGGCCAGGTGGAGAGCAGAGCTGGGCTGCTGGAGAGATGGCAGCAGGCAACGCGGACACAGCAGAGCTTGGGCATCGCCAGCCTGCTCCAGCCCAGGTCTTGCTGACGCCCGGCCCGTCTGGCCAGGCCAGGGAAGGTGGCGCTACTTCCCTGAGCCTCTTCGGGGCGTCTCACACTGGCTCTTCTGCAGCCACTGCCGGCCCTCGCCCTCTCCTTCCCTGCTCATCTGGGGCTCCCCTTCCTCCCTGTCACTCCTGCTCTCCTGACCGCTCTGCGGAGGCGCTTCTTCTCCCTGCCCCTCGTGCCTCCTCTGGAGCGCCGAGGTTTGAGTGACTGCCATGGGAGTCCAGACCTAAGAGCAAAATAGTGTAATTACCAAATTCCTCCAGGACAAAGACGCCTCGAACTGTATTGCACTTTTTAATGTGATTCAGCTCTATGAAAACCTGCAAGAGAGGGAGGGAGGGTGGGGTGAGGCCCGGAGGCTCCGCCCCTGCCTGCCCCACAGAGCCCACTCTCCCGGCTACACAGCCCCGCTCCCACACAGAAAACCTGCTTCCCAAAGGGAGGACAGAACTCACACACACACACAACTCAAAAGCGCTAAGAAGCAAAGACAGCAGAAAGGGCGTGTACCTTCCGCTCCTGGCCGGAGGAGAAAGCATGGGAGAGAAATGAAGGCGTTAGTTTTAACGGTCAAGCCCAACCCAAAGGCCCCTCTGCCGGCCTGGGCTGCCCGCCCGTGCCCTCTGCCCGGGCAGTGCTCATAGGACACAGTGCCCCGGTTTCCCCTCAGCCCGTCAAGTCTCGACCCTTCCATGCATCCTCCTCCGGCGCAGAGGGGCTGGCACGGGCGCAAAGCTCCCCGGGGCTGTTCTTGGGCTGGGAGGTGTTGGAGTCTCCCTCGAAACAGGATCCGGATCTCCCAGCAGTATGTGCCGATCACACTAACAGCTGCCACTCGCCTCCTGGGAGCTCTATAATCCTTACGCCTCAGCGGTACAGTCTACAGCTCTACCCCTAGCTGAGTGATGAGGACTGTGCAGGTCAGCGAGTGTATCTGTCCGTGAATAATGCGACTGGGCTTCGAATCCAAGCCCATCCTGGCTCCAGCTCTGTCTTTGGCCCATCTGTGGCTCCACGCCGTATCAACTCCGCAGGAGGGGGTCTGGCGCGTTCCCCCACTCCAACTGACTGCTGTGTGGCAGCCGCAGACAGCAGGCCACCGTCTCATTACCAGACTGGGAAGTCAGCACTTACTCCCCCCAAGAAAGCTCTCTAGCTGGGGCCCACGCCCTCAACTACTGAGTGGCACCCCTTTACTTCTCGCTGTCTGACAACATGGTGCCCCAAGGGCAGAACAAGGAATTCGGCAGGGCCCCTGTGTCATTTAACAAGATCTCATCCTCAGAAAGGGAGGCCACAGCACTAAAACGTGGCCAGAGACCCACGCCCCAAGAAGTGCCGGCACCTTTGTGGCCTAGAAAAGCACTTAGGCAAAACTCTTCGGGCTCACCCCAAGGTCTCTAGGGGTTTGCTGCCCTCCTAAGCCCCAGACTGAAACAGTGAGGGGCTGCCGGGAAGCGAGGGCAGCTGTTTCTTGTTACACCACGCTGCCCAGCCAGAATTCTCAAGGGAGAACTCCCACGGCAAGCCAAGGAAGCCAGCCCCAGAGTCCCACGTCACCCCCTGCTGAGGATCGGCTGCCTGTGCTCAGGGACTGTGGTGCGGGCCCGGGGCCTCACGGAGAGGAACTGGCATGTCAGGCCAGGGAATGGGAAGGAAGGCACTTGTGTGAAGTCAGAGCTGGGAACGGACCTGGGATGACGCGCTGGCCTCAGAAAGGAATTAGCTTAAGCAATGTCCACTGAGAGAAAAAGTAACACTGTATTAAAAGACCAAGAGAAAAACAAAGTCAGCTCCTATGGTGGCGTCACCACAAGGGAAGGATGATCCTGAAGTGCTCCCCCACCGGAAGAAGGGGCACAGGGCCTGTGGAGCGGGGGACAGAGCGGGGACACAACGGAAGGGAGAGAACAGGAAGAATCAGCGGGAGAAGGAAGTGGCAAATAAACACACGCTTCAGAGAGGACAGAGACGAGTCGCTCGCACGCACACACGCACGCACGCACGCGCTCCTCGCACACCAGAACTACTGGAGGAGCTCAGCCAGTTCGACTCTCAAAGCACAACCACCAAGCAAAGCACACCCTGGGAAGAAAGGGAGGCAGCGGTGCTGCGCAGAAGGGCCGCGTGAGACGCTCCCACTCACACTGTGCCAGTGCAGCGGCCGGGTAGCCTGGCCCCAGCCTCACTGTCCCTCTCAGCCTCCCGCCACAGGCTCCTGGGGGTCACCAATGTCACTGTGCCCCCCCCCCCCCCCCGCTCTCTCTTGGGTCCGGCTGCTCCAGTTCTCCCAGCGGCCCTCTCTCATGCTCACTGGGAAGGCACTGGGGACCTGGACAGCGATCCCTACTTCAGATGGAACAGCAGGGCCAGGCAGCCTTGTGCTGCCACCTCCACCTACCTGGTTGTGCATGAACTTGAGATTGATCCCTTCCAGAGTGACCTGCAGCAAGCCACCCTCACCAGTTTTCATGTCCTGCACAGGGAACTCGCCACCTAGTTCAGGCCCTGTGGTGAGGGAGGGGGTATGAGTGGGCAGCCCCAGCCCCGACCTCCTCGCCAGGCCTGACACTCAGGACCGGGGAAAGCACCCTCTCGCCTCTCACCCGGCTTGATGCTCTGCTGTCGGGCGGCAGCACGCTCCATGCTGTCCTTCACGCAGTAGTACAGCTCGCGGCACTGCGGCACAGGGGAGACAGCCGCTGTCACACAAGCCTTGCAGGGCTCCCGCCCTCTGCCAGCTGAGGAATGCCGGGCCAGGGCCAGGTCTCAGAGACACCCTCGGGTGTCCCACACAACAGATGGGGGACAAAGGGTGGCTCCAGATGTGGATTCTGGAACTTTAACTTCTCAGCGGGATACTCGTTGTTGGCCTTCAATGGCTACCCCACCCCCAACACAAACAGGGATCCTGGGTACCTTCTTAGTGTAGAACTTGTTGAGCTGGGTCTCAGAGCCATTTCGCCGCCACAAGCACAACACCTTGGTCTTAGGACAGTAGGTCATGTTGATGAGCTTCTCGTACCACCAGCGCTCATAGACGGTCCCGATGTTGCTACGCAGCACCACGCAGTCATCACACACCTGGGCAAGTGCACAGAGCAGTTCAGTGGCGCTGGTCTCTGGAGAGCCTCGCCCATCCCTGGCCACACTCCACTGCTTCCCACAGGGCAGGAGTCAGGCAACCACACCGCCAGGTTTTCTGCCCTATACTCATAGCCTCCCTCTGTGGAGACACAAACACAGAATGACTGGCCATCCTGTCTGCTAGCGTTGTTGAAAGAAATGAAGGCATTGGATGGAGCCTGTGTACACAGAGCCTTACTCCTCCAGTCTGTTCTCTCTGCCACATCTCCCACGTCCTACAGATTTCAAGTGTTCACAGGGTATCACATGCTTCCCCCACACAGCCTTAGGAGTCAGCCCCTTTCTGCTTCAGAAAGACAAAGGCAGGGGATGATGGCAGACTGAACCAACGCATTTTCTAATCCTAATTCTTCCCTGTTTTATTTTATTTTACTTTACGATTTATCTATTTATTTGAAAGTCAGAGTTACAGAGAGGGAGAGACAGAGAGATGGAGATCTTCCATGTGCTGGTGCACCCAGATGGCCACAGTGGCTGGGGCTGGGCCAGGCAGAAGCCAGGAGCCAGAAGCTTCTTCAGGTTTCTCACATGGGCAGCAGGGGCCCAAGCATTTGGGCCATCCTCCATTGCTCTTTCTAGGCCACTAGCAGGGAGCTGGATTGGAAGTGGAGCGGCCGGGACTTGAATCGGCGCCCATTTGGGACGCTGGCATTGCAGGCGGTGGCTTCACCCACTGAGCCACAACACCAGCTCTCTATTCCTATTCCTACAAAAGTATTTTCATAAATTAATAACATAAGTGACACATGAACAATGCTTACTGCACAAAAACTATTCAAAACAGGATGCAGGCGTGTGGCCTGGTGGTGGTCTCGACATCCTCTACTGGAGTGCCTGGGTTCAAGTTCTGGGCTCTGTTTCTGATCCAGTTTCGTGCTAGTGCACACAGTGGGAGTCAGACTGCCTGCGTTACACTTCGCGTTCAGCCATTACTTGGCTGTGTGCCATGAACAAGTTACTCTGTGTCTAGATTCCCTCATGTGTAAGATGGAGCTAACTTTGTGGGGTAGTTGTGAAGACACAATGAGTTAATGCACAAAAAAACCCGTAGGAAGCACAGATGGTTAGCAGCTGTAACAAAACATCGTGACAGAAGAAATACAAGAGTGACTATTATTACCATGTTAATATTCTTAATTCTTTCTCCACAGGGGGCCTCTCATGCGGAGCAGCTTCTCATACTCACCCTGTCCACATCCGAACTCCACTTCTCTTTCTGGACAGATCTTTCTTTGACATCCCCTACCTACCTGATGTCTGCCACTCACACGGCTTCCCTTTGCCCTCAACCACATCCTCACTGAGTCCTCAGGTACCCCCGGGCCACTTTCTTTGCCTACTCCACCTCTTACTTCTCCTTCAATTCTAAGCTCAAAGGTCACTTCTTCCGAGGAGCTGTCCATGACTCCCAGGCCCCTGGTCTGTATTTCCCTAACTCCCGGCCCCGACGATGTCCATCACATTTTAAGACACTCTTTGATTATCTGAATTCCCCGATGGCTTATCCACTCTGAAAGAGCAACAGAAACCATGTCAGTCTGATTCACTGCTATAATCCCCACAACCCAAGAGTGGGCCAAGCATATAGTACGGCTCCATAAGTATCAGGTGAATGAATAAGGAATGCATACGACTATGAGGTTGATGACATCTGGCTGGAGTTCAGCAAAGCAGCAGCAGTAAGATTAGGAAGCTCGGGTCCTAGCCCAGCCTGACTCTGTGGATCCCGTCATGTGGAAAGTGGACAATACCACCCCACCTTCCACAAGCCTTTAAGAACATCATGTAAAGGTGGGGTGCATATTTAAGGCCCCATGATTTCTGGGCCAGAGAAATGATGGTAATAATGTGGCTTTCCTGTGCTGCTGGTCAAATTACACACTGATACAGTCTTTTGGCTGGCAATGAGGCAGAATGTATCCAAATTTTAAATGTATATAAGCTTTATCTGGAAACTCCATGTCCAGGAATATGTCCTACAGAATCCAGTGGGAGGCACTAAGTAAATAGGATAATACCTAATGACTATGCAAAAACTTTAAAACATGGAAAGATGTCCATGATACATTAAGTTTTTTTAAAAAAAAGTTATAGGGGTCGGCACTGTGGCCTAGCAGGTAAAGCTGCCACCTGCAGTGCTGGCATTCCACATGGGCACTGGACCAAGTCGCAGCTGCTCCACTTCTGGTCCAGCTCTCTGATGTGGCCTGGGAAAGCAGAAGAAGATGGCCCAAGTCCTTGGGCCCCTGCACTAACGTGGGAGACCGGGAAGAAGCTCCTGGCTCCTGGCTTTGGATTGGAGCAACTTCAGCCATTGTGGCCAATTGGGGAGTGAACCAGCAGATGGAAGACCTCTCTCTGTGTCTCTGCCTCTCCTTCTGTCTCTGTATAACTCTGACTTTCAAATAAATAAATAAATCTTTAAAAAAAATAAATCCTAAATATAAATATAAATCCTAAAACAAAATTCCATATATACAAAATATATTTACACAAATAGGCTTTGTTGTTATTGTTTTAATCTGAACGGATAAAACCAAACTCTCAACAGTAATTACCTTTGGGGAGTGGAACTGGGATGAAGTGGAGGAAATGTTTACCTTACTTACTTTATACATTTTGAAAAATTTACAACATATATTGTTTTACTTTAATACCATTAGTTGAACTCTTAACACAGAATTATTCTTAGGTGTTTAAATCCAATTGAAAATTGATCCCTGTTAAAAATAAGAGTAAGAATAAAAGAGGGAGGAGATATACAATTCGGCACACATCCCCTCGGACTTACCCCTAAGGGTAAAGCTAAAAACTTGCCATGGGACTCCAAATCCCATTAAGTTGACAGGTACCAATACCATCTTACTAGTTAAAGTGATCAGTTTAAGTTCATAACTGATCATAAAGATAGGATTAAGTGTCAAAGAGATCACATAAATAAGACCAAGTGTCTGGTAATAACAATAGATAGAATTAAAAAGGAGAGAATGATCCGACATGGGAAGCAGGATACACAGCAGACTCATAGAATGACAAATGCCTTAAACAGCACTCTGGCCTCAGAATCAGCCCTTAAGACAGTTGGATCTGGCTAAAAAGCCCATGAGAGTTTTTCAAGCATGGAAAGCCAAGACACTGTGGCAAAAAAATGACCTACATGAAAGATCTCTGTGTGTGAGATCCTGGTGGCAAGAAAGGGCCATCAAAGTAGGAGGTACCTTTCTCTGAAGGGAGGAGAGAACTTCCACTTTGATTATGGCCTTGTCTAAATAATGTTGGAGTTTGTGGACTCAAGAGGCTTCCATAGCCTTGGCAGCTTATGACAAGATCCTCAGGTGATCACTGACATCATAAATAAGAGTGTGAATTGTTAAATCAACAACAGGAGTCATTGCGCACTTGCTCCCCATGTAGGACCTTAATGTGTCCTTATTGTTGTACTATGAGAATTAACAGTAAAACGAGTCCTCAAACAGTACTTTATACTTTGGGTGTCTTAGTGGGGTGCAAATTGTTGAAATCTTTACTTAGTATAGAGTTGATCTTCTGTATATAAAGATAATTAAAAACAAATCTTAAGAATGGGAGGGAAGAAGGAGTAGGAGTGGAATGGTTTGGGGGTGGGAGGAAGGGTATGGGAGAAAGAACTGCTACAATCCGAAAGCTGTACTTATGAAATTTATATTTATTAAATAAAAGCTTTCTATTAAAAAAGAAAAAATTTCAACATATATTATTTTACTTTTATAACTAAAAAAAAATAAATAAAGTAAAAAACATCCATAAAAAGCCTTCTCAAATTGCTAACAGATCAGATCTCAGGCTGAGCTCTGAGAAAGGCGAGATCAGACAGCCTGAGTGGCCACAGATGACGCAGTGGTGGGGGCACTGTTGCACGGTGTGGCAATACTTTAAGAACAGGCGCTGTGAGGGTAAAGGAGCCAATTCCACACTCCAGAGGCTCAGCCCAAGGCTGCATGTACAGTGGCGATGCTGAGTCCTGTGTTTCAAGGGATCTTCTGGAGAGGCTTAGTTTTCAAAAGGAGCCAGAAAGGGCGAGGATCACCTGCCACCTCTATAGGGCACAGGTGTCCTAGTTAGTGATCAGCTCTCAGAAACACCTGGCCAAATCCCAGTCCCTCAAAAAGGTGACCTGCAAATGCCTGCCTTCTCAACTACCCTGGCACATTTGTTTCTGCTTCAGAGTAACCCGAGCCCCCAGGCTGTGGTTGCTGAACCACTTGGTCAAAAAACCGTGAGTGTGAAAATTAAACTCAGGGGGCCGGCACTGTGGCTTAGTGGGTAAAGCCACCACCTGCAGTGCCAGCATTCCTATCATATGGGTGCTGCTCCACTTCCCATCCAGCTCTCTGCTATGACCTAGGAAAGCAATAGAAGATGGCCAAGTCCTCGGGCCTCTGTACCCTTGTGGGAGACCAGGAAGAAGTTCCTGGCTCCTGATTGGCCCAGCTCTGGCTGTTGTGGCCATTTGGGGATTAATCCAACAGATGGAAGACTTCTTTCTCTGCCTCTGACTCTCCGTAACTTTACCTTTCAAATAAATAAATCTTCAAAAAAAAATAAAATAAAATAAAATAAACTCAATTAAACCAAAGCTGAAGAGATAACCTACAGTGTTATTTAGTATTACTACTTTAAGTAGGAGTTGTCCCTAACCTCTAAAATTACTTGGAAAAGATCTACTTTGGTTAAAACACAGAAATGAGAAAACATGGACAAATGCCTTTATAATCCTGGAGTAAGAAAAGCTTTTTTTCTAAGTAGGACTTAAAATCCAAAAGTCATAAAAGGAATAACTAATTAACTACTTTTACCTGAAAGCAAAAGATTTCTGGGGCACGCGTTTGACACAGCAGCTGACATCATGGGGGGGGGGGGGCACTGAGGCTGCAGAGCAGCAGTTTAGGCTGCAGTCTGCAGTGCTGGCATCTCATATGGTCACTGGTACGAGTCCTGGATGCTCTACTTCTGATCCAGCTCTTGCTAATGTGCCTGGGAAGCAGCTAAGATGGTCCAAGTGCTTGGGCCCCTGCCACCCACATGGGAAACCCAGAAGCTCTTGGCTCCTGGCTTTGGATCGACACAGTTCCGCCCATTTGGGGAGTGAACAAGCAGATGGAAGACCTCTCTCTCTCTCCCTTCCTCTCTCTCTCTCTCTGTCTCTGTCTCTCCTCTCTCTGTAATTCTGACTTTCAAGTAAATAAATAAATCTTTTTTAAAAAATTAAGCACACACACACACACACACACACAAAGACATCATTTGGGATGCCTCCATCCCATACTGGAGTGCCTAGGTTCCAGTCCTAGCTCTGCTCCTGATTTTACTTTTCTAATGTACACCCTGGAAGGCAGTAGGTCATGGCTTTAGTAGTTAGGTGCCTGTCACCCACATGGGAGATCTGGATTGAGTTCTAGGCTCCCAGCTTTGGCCTGGTTCAGCCCCAGCTGTTACAGGCATTTAAGGAGTTAACTGGCAGATAGGAGATCTCTGACTCTCTACCTTTCAAAATACATTTAAACAAATTACATAAAAAAAGAAAAAAATTTCTGCATAGCAAAAAATATCACAGGCAAAATCAGAAGACAAATGAGAAAGTTTACAGTGGCCACATCTGGCTGTTTCCATGTGAACCCACTGACTATCAGGAGAGAAACGACCATACAAGACAACTGGAAGAACACAGCACCACCTGTGAAGTATTGTTGCCAAAACACTGATTAGACCTCTAGACTGAGCTATTCGTTTATAAGAAATACAAGTGAGAAGCATGTTAGTGACACCTAGGAGGTTCAATTCACAAAGAACCTAGAATGTGAGGTACTCCACAGGTAAGTGATCCAATTTGTTCAACAGAGTAACTGGCAAAGGGGGAATGGCGTACGTTAAGGGATACTAAGGAGCCTTACTGACCAAAGTTACAAATGTACTGTCCCTGTGACCTAGCAATCCCTCATCAGGGGTTTCTCACAGACACCTGTACAAAAACTAGCAACAGCAAAATACTGGAAAGCACCCAAGGATCCATATGTGCTGACTGGCACAGTCAGAGCAGGGAATGCAGGTGGTCCTACAGAGAGCTTTCTGTTGTACTGAAACAGAACATCACCAGGATGAGTTTAATGAAAAAAACAACATACGGGTCAGTAGATACAATGTGCCACCTTTTATAAGAAAAGAGAAAATGAAGACTTTATATTCATATATTTGTATTTTATTGTTTGCATAAAAATCCGCTGGAAGATAAAAAGGAAACCAATACAACTGGCTACTGATGCCAGCATTTGGCCTAGCAGTTAGGCTGCGGTTGGGACATTTACAACCCATCCCAGAGTGCCTGGGTTCAAGTCCTAGTTCTGCTCCAGATTCTAACTTCCTGCTAATATACATCCTAGGAGGCAGCCAAAGTCAAATAACTGGACTCCTGCCCTCCACATGGGAGACCTGGAGTCAGCCCAGCCCAGTTCCAGCCTTTGCTGGCCACTGGGGAGTGAATCAGTAGATGGAAGCTTTCTGTCTCATAAATAAATGAATAAATACACACATACATAGATATATACATACATACATAAACAGAAGAAACCAAAAACTGGTTATCTATAGGACTATGAAGCAGTGAGTGGGAAATTGATGGAAGGAGACGAGAACGAGCACAAGCCCTCCTGACATATACTATCTTATACTGTTCCAATTTACAGCTAACATGACATTATCACCTAGCCAATAGAGAGGTTAAAAATGGAAGAATAAAAGAATCAGAACATTGATTTGATTACTTGTGAAATACCTGACAATTTAACGATAGATGGATCAAAAAGATAAATGAGACAAATGGGAAAACTATTCTGGCACCACTTTTTAGTTCTCTGTGATTCACAAATATTCCTCTGAGCCCCTAACCAGTACCTACCTCCATGAAAAAGATGTCTCCATTTGTGTCTGTCCCTGCGTGTACCACAAACGTCTGCTTCTTCATGTGCCGGCTGCCACTGGACCGGATAGAGAGATCACGTCCATTCTGAGGAAGGAGAGACTTTTCAGGACACTCCCACATCCCTCTCACAGAGGGCTCTGGGCCAAGACTCCCTCACTGAGCAGCTTTTCCAGCACAGTCTCCTCTGCTGACCACCGACCACCAGGGAAGTATTCTCACAATTTTTCATCTCAGGATGCCTACAGCTCTTAAAAATTACTGAAGATCCCAAAGAACTTTCGTTCATATGAGTTATATTTATAGATAGCATATCAAAAATTAAAACCGAGAAATTTTTAAATAATTATTAATTTATTAACAATAACTATAATTCATTAATAAAAACACATGGCATGCTAATCTACATATCATTTGTAAAACAATCTTGTTTTTTAGGGGCTGGCATGGTGGCATAGTAGGTAAAGCCACCGCCTGCAGTGCTGGCATCCCTATGGGCACTGGTTCGAGTCCTGGCTGCTCCACTTCTTTTTTTAAGATTTATTTATTTGAAAGTCAGAGTTACAGAGAGAGGAGAGGCAGAGAGAGAGAGAGAGAGAGAGGTCTTCCATCTGATGGTTCACTCCCCAATTGGCCACAATGGACAGAACAGAGCCGATCTGAAGCCAGGAGCTTCTTCCATGTCTCCCACGCAGGTGCAGGGTCCCAAGGACTTGGACCATCTTCTACTGCTTTCCCAGGCCATAGCAGAGAGCTGATCGGAAGTGAAGCAGCCGGGTCTCAAACTGGGGCCCATATGGGATGCTGGCACTTCAGGCCATGGCTTTAACCTGCTACACCACAGTGCTGGCCCCTGCTCTACTTCTGATCCAGCTCTCTGCTATGGTCTGAGAAGGCAGTAGAAGATGGCCCAAGTCTTTGGGCCCCTGCACCCACATGGGAGACCCGGAGGAAGCTCCTGGCTCTTGGCTTTGGATTGGCACAGCTCCAGCCATTGCAGCCAACTGGGGAGTGAACCAGCAAATGGAAGACTTCTCTCTCTCTCTGCCTCTCCTTCTCTTTCTCTGTAGCTCTGCATTTCAAATAAATAATCTTTTTTAAAAAAATCTTTTTACCTTTTTCAAATACAGCGAAAGTGAGGTCAAATTTTCTTCATCTGCATCAATCAAAGCACAGATTGGATGGAGAAGCAGAGAGGAGAATATGGGCCATCCTCCGCTGCTCTCTTAGGCTCATTAGCAGGGAGCTAGATCGGAAGCGGAGCAGCTAGGACATGAACCAGTACCTGCATAGGATGTAGCAGTTTAACCTTCTATGCTACAGCACTGGCCCCAGGGAAAAAGATTTTAATGCACATATTCTTCTTTGGCACTGTACAGGACTTAGGAAAAATCAGTGTGCAAAAGTTAGCTGCAATGTGTAATCTGGAAACACAGCACTGAACACTTTACACTATTACATTAAAATCCGTCTATCTGCCTTCCATTTTGAGGGCACCTTTATCCACACTTGAATCTGTAACATCTCACACTGGATGTGGGGTGTCCTGGTTCACTAAATTATGCAGCTCTTCCAAATGTTGGCATGTTTTATTACACAATATAAAAAAATCAGATTCACTAATATTACTACACATCTCCTTAGAAAAGTCTTAAAATGTTGGAAAGCCTCAAGCTCAAAATTCTTCCAAAATTTTTACCTTCACTTAAAAAAATTTGAATTGTATCATTGGCAACACGTGCTATCACTGTTTTCTTTGAAACAACAGGCCCTTTTTATTAATTTTGGAGAAAACGTCCACCAAATGCTCAGCTCTGAACAGCCAGAGTGTGTTAAGCCCTCCTTCTGAGCAAAAACGATGTCCCAGGAACACAGGGCCTAGTTCACCTTGCAACTCAAACTGTTGCAAATTGCTTTTCCTTAAAACCACCACCACACTCGGTTGGCAGCAGAAATGCTTTATGTATACGTCCCAGTCGTCACACAGAATATAAAGATACGTAATCTGTCAGCAAGATGTAACGAAAGTAGTGGTTTTCACTGCTTCACCAAGACACCGGCTCTTTTCAAACTGACACTGTAGGTGAGGACAAAGACGGCTCGCGGTCTGTTTGGGGCCCTGCCCTCGTCTGTTAAGGTGCCAGCAGTCTCACCCACCACTGCTTGTATAGCATCAGTGCAAATGTCAACTGGAGAAAAAGGCACATAACATTTTAGTATTATGATGCCAAACACACTCTACCTTTTAGAGTCTCAGAGGCCCACAAACCACACATTGCAACGGCTATACCAGGCAAGTTTTAGTATACAGAATTCCATTTCCAAAAAGAGGGCTGTAAGCTTCATCTAGAGTCAAAAACCACTACCCCACGTCCCATGCTGGGGGCAAACTGGACTATACAGAGACACAGGCAAGAAACAACCCATGGGGAAGCCTCCGTATCACACTGGAAGGCCCAGCCAGGGAAAGGGAAGCCCAGGGGATGGCCAAGCTGTGCTTACCAGGTTCGCCAGCTGATCCAGCACCTCATTGATTTGCTGGCTGTACACAAGCCCAATATGGGACTTCCCCATTAAGCGCCTCACCTTCTTCCGGATGTCATTCTTATTCACCTGGAAAGCCAAAACAGGAATCTTAGTAAGGGGTCTGCTCTTCTCGCACTGAGGAGAAGAGCAGAGAATGTAAAGGTGTCCTCCTGTCTGAGAGAAGTGATATTGTGACAAAACCCGTCACTGCACACGGGAGTGCACTCTCAACCCTGCGCCCTGCCCACGTGCCGGGAAGAACCCTGGCTCTGCCTCTGGTTGGCTCCTGCAGAAAGTTGCTCTTGAAAGGGCTCTGCAAGGAGACACTGCCTCTTTATGCCCAACCAAGACTGAAACATTGGTTCCTAAACCCTTAGGGATCCTCAGAGTATAAATCAGAAACAGTGACTCAGAGTGGTGACCCTGGGACTCAGTTGTAGCCGAAATTCCCTCCACAGGAGGGAATTGTCCTTTCTCAACCAGAGTCAACTAATACTCCTGGAATTCACCAGTGGAATGAACCAAGAGGGTCTGGCCTGGAGAGCGTCCTTCACGTTTGCTCACCTGATCCCTGCACATCTAGGGAGGCAGCAAGAACAGGAGAAACCCAGGGCTCATTCTCAGAATGACTCTCTTCCACCCAGCCTCAAACTTAGGTTTCCCTTTCACAGCATCACTGTTTACTTGGTAATGTACTTCTTCCACGGCTGTGGAAACCAAGCACAACCAAATCAAACTAGAACCTACCACTACATTGGTTTTTTTTTTTTTTTTTAAAGACTTATTTATTTATTTGAAAGTCAAGAGTTACACAGAGACAGAAGGAGAGAGAGAGAGAGAGAGAGAGAGAGAGAGAGAGGTCTTCCATCTGCTGGTTCACTCCCCAATTGGCCTCAACAGCCATAGCTGAGCTGATCTGAAACCAGGAGCCAGGAGCTTCTTCTGGGTCTCCCATGTGGTGCAGGGGCCCAAGGGCTTGGGCCATTTTCTCCTGCTTTCCCAGGCCATAGCAGAGAGCTGGATCAGAAGTGGAGCAGCCGGGTCTCAAACTGGCACCCAAATGGGATGCCGGCACAGCAGGCAGCAGCTTAACCTGCTACGCCACAGCACCGGCCCCACCACTACAGTGTTAATGGGCAGCTCTTTTTCTAGCAATGGAAAATTCACTATGATAAAGGACTAGTGCTGAGAAATGAATTCTGAGCATCCTTCGTAAGGTTTTAGAAACAACTACCATAAACAAATTAATTCTATCTGTGAGGAGCTTTACTGGCATCGTAAACTACTTAGCAGGAGTCCAAGTACATTCAAAGTAAACAAAGAGAATGGACTCATTGGTTAAGGACACAACTCAGCCTGGCAGCTTCAATACAGGGGTCACATGTGAGCTGGGGGAGAGGCTCTGGGCCTTCAATCAGGCACAGAGCCCTGGGAAGCTGCTCTGACAGCTTCCTAACTCACCCCAGAATTTAAGTGACAGCAACAAGCCTTGCCTGTCCAGCATCAGTAGTGCAGGATGTAAGCAAAGCTGTCAGTACCTTCATCAGCAGCATGTAGGAGATGAGGTTGTGCAACAGTGTGGCCAGCAAGCGATCTTCATCATCCTCCAGGCGCTTCCGGTCATGTTCTCCCAGGGACAGGTACCTAAGTAGAAGACCAGCGTCAGCTGGGAGACCGCAGAACTAACGGAGAGAAGGCTAAGTTTTCATATTCCCAAGGGTTTCCTAAGCCCCATACCTGTCGATCATTTCCTGGGGACCCTGGTCCATACCCATCCCTTCTCTCTCCAACATCACGGCATCTAAGAATGCATCTTCCCAGAACTGCATTTGGTCCCATAAAGTAGAACGCTCTTTGCCTACACAGAATAAAGGTTTCTTAAGAGACTTACTTAGCATTTAAAGAACACAACTGTCAAACAAAGAGTAAACACCAGAATGGAGTCGTTACACATTCCAGGACCAGACAGACACAAACCTCTCCACCCCGGTTCTAACATTCCAGCCCCACATGCCTCCAAGTGAGGCCCAGTCCCTCCCAAGGAGGAGGGATGAACACAGCACACAAAGAAAGGTGGTTACTTATAGAAAAGGTCTCCATAGCAGCGTCCTCTAACTGGTCCCACATTGATCCTTTGTCTCTTCCTGCCAATTTGTGATCAGGAAGGACCATGGTAGCAGGAAAGGAAAGAAAGGCAGACAGACAGAGGCTGTTGATTAATACTAATACCACAGTCTCAACTCGTTTTCCCCCTGCTTGGTCCAGACCCAGGAAATCACTTGCTTCAGATTCCAAGACACATCTAGCATCAGTACTGCCATCAGCAGAAAAGCCAGTTACTTGGCAGTGCTGCTCTCTCCCCTGACTGAGCCCAGCTTTCTCAGTGGAAGGGGCCTTCCCAGTCTGCTTCTTACCTAGGAGTCCCTCATAAAGATACACTCGCTGGCTGACATCTTCAGAACAGCGAACTGGGCTGCCCACCAGCTTCTCCTTCACCCCCGGCTTCAAGCTATGGGCTTTGCCCTGGAGAGAAGAGGTGATCAGTCAGCTGTCAGGAACAGGAGCAAAGTCAACCAAACCTTAGTGAGAGGCTCACACATATATACCCCATACACCCTTGCTTCTGCTAATTTGCTTGCTTCTAGGATTCAACCAAATCTCAATCTGTTAATCCTGTGCAGCACCGGCATCCCACATGGGTATGGGTTTGAGTCCCAGCTGCTCCACTTTTAATCCAGCTGCCTGCTAATGCACCTGGGAAAGACTTCCCAAGTACTTAGGCTCCCACCATACACATGGGAGACACAGAGGGAGTTCCAAGCTCCTGGCTTCAGTCTGGCCCAGCTCCAGCTGTTGCAGACATTTGGGGAGTGGACCATCAAATGGAAGATTGATTTTTCTCTCTGTGTCTTTCAAGTAACATAAATCTTAAAGCAAAAAAATCAGGCTAATTCTCTGGTATCAGCATGACACTAGAAAGGATACAGGGTTGAAGTCAGTTTGACCAAGGTTCAGATCCTTGCTTTTTTTTTTCTTTTTTTGACAGGCAGAGTGGACAGTGAGAGAGAGAGAGAGACAGAGAGAAAGGTCTTCCTTTGCCATTGGTTCACCCTCCAATGGCCGCCGCGGCTGGCGCGCTGCAGCTGGCGCACAGCGCTGATCCAATGGCAGGAGCCAGGTACTTATCCTGGTCTCCCATGGGGTGCAGGGCCCAAGCACTTGGGCCATCCTCCACTGCACTCCCTGGCCACAGCAGAGAGCTGGCCTGGAAGAGGGACAACCAGGACAGAATCCGGCGCCCCGCCTGGACTAGAACCCGGTGTGCTGGCGCCGCTAGGCGGAGGATTGGCCTAGTGAGCCGCGGCGCCAGCCAGATCCTTGCCTCTTATTAGCCGTGTGACCTTAGGAACAAATCTTAGCTTCTCTGAGCTTCCTTTTCCTAATCTGTAAAATGAAGGTTATAGTATTTATCTCCTAAGACTACTGCAATAATTAAATTTGAAATGCATATACATAAAGCACTTAACAGTATCTGGAGTTGGCTTGGTAATGGGTGTATGTTAATTTCCTCTTTCCTACCATCTCTTATTGCCCTTGAGAAATATCACTGTCTGCCACTTCTGTAATAATAAACTTTCTACTCATCAAAAAAGGATTTTCAACTAGGTAAGAGGTAGGTAAAATCATGCCATTTCAATAATACACTGAACAGAACAAACAGCTGATCATAGGTGGTTAGGCAATACCTAATTAGTGTTAACGAAGTAGCAGTCTCCCAGTTCACAGCCTAGTACTTTGTCCAATGGACCTCACTGATTTTATATATAAAAACATATATATATTTTTCTTGTTAAGACAGCTGTTTTGAGTTAAGAAATTTAGGTAACTGCTCCTAGCAACTCAATCATACCAGGAATCCTTGTCCATCAGCAGAAAGCAAGCAAGAATTTGTCCCAGGAAGATAACAGGCGAGATGGCACACAGCTGAATAGCTCCATTGATCAACAATTCTGGCTCATTATCCAGAATGACAGGACCGTAGAAGGATTTTAAACACATGAACAACTGCTTAAAGTCAGAGAGAGGGGCCAGCACTGTGGCGCAGTAGGTTAATCCTCTGCCTGCAGCACCGGCATCCCATATGGGCACCGGTTCTAGTTCTAGATGCTCCTCTTCCAATCCAGCTCTCTGCTATGGCCTGGGAAAGCAGCAGAAGATGGCCCAAGTGCTTGGGCCCCTGCACTTGTGTGGAGACCAGGAAGAAGCTCCTGGCTTCAGATTGGTGCAGTTCTGTCCATTGCAGCCATTTGAGGAATGAACCAGCAGAAGGAAAACCTTTTTCTCTGTCTCCCCCTCTCAGTGTCTGTAACTCTACCTCTCAAATAAATTAATTAATTAAAAATAAATAAATATGTCTTCCCTTCTTTTAAAAAAAAATAAAGTCAGAGGGAGAGGCGAGGCCATCAGAGCAGCCTGATGGCACCCAATCCTGTTCCCAGCCTTCAGTCTGGGAGGCCACTGGCTCTATTAGGAACACACCGAGCTCTGGAATGGGAACCATAATTGATTTCACCTACATTGCATCTTCTATTCTCCCTACAAAGACAAGGACTCTTAAGAACTCTTACACAGAACAGCTGTCCTCATCTCTGTTTAATAAAGTGTAACGTGGCAATGGATTGTGTCCAGCAGTGTCTTAGGAGGCACACATGCACTGCAAAGTGGTGTGTCTCAGGCAAGGACTAAACAACATTTGTTTCATTCCAGCTGATCAAAAGCTTATGGTGTGACCTAGGACAAATCTGTTTTTTTTTTTTTTCTAAGATTTATTTATTTATGTGAAAGGCAGAGTTGGGGCCAGCGCTGTGGCACAGTGGGTTAAAGCCCCGGCCTGAAGCGCCTGCATCCCAGATGGGTGCCGGTTCTAGTCCTGGCTGCTCCCCTTCTGATCTAGCTCTCTGCTATGGCCTGGGAAAGCAGTGGAAGATGGCCCAAGTGTTTGGGCCCCTGCACCTGCATGGGAGACCCTACAGAGGCTCTTGGCTCTGGATCGGCTCAGCTCCAGCTGTTGCAGCCACTTGGGGAGTGAACCAGCAGATGGAAGACCTCTCTTTCTGTGTTGCTACCTCTCTCTCTAACTCTTTCAAACAAATAAAAAT